GTAGCTCTTTTTTTTGTTCTTTTTTTTTTTTTTGGCAAGGCAATCGGGGTTAAGTGACTTGCCCAGAGCCACATAGCTAGTAAGTGTTATATGTCTGAGGCCAGATTTGAATTCAGTACCTCCTGACTTCAAGGCCAGTGCTCTATGCACTGCACTACCTAGCTACAGCCAATTTTAGTACCTTCTTCCAGGGTTATTATGAAGATAAAATGAGATAAACAAACCTTAAAGCACTATGTAAATGCTAGTTATTATTATATATATGTACTTTCATGTCTGATTGTTAAAAAACATAATAGCAAAAGAAGTCTTAATAATACATTTACAGGAATAAGAAAAATATATACTGGAGATCTTAAAAAACTAAATAACATGCTAGAAAGTTTCTCCTCCATAATCAGTCTAAAAGATCTGTATGGGAGAAAATTCAATTTCCAAGTATTCAAAACACAGGCTAATGTGTTTAAATGTATCTGCTGATATTATTTTATGTCTGCAAGCTATGCAAAACATTCACTTTTTCCTATAAGAGATATAAAAGACAGTTATATTTAATTTTCCATATTACATACCTCTCTCAAGATGAAGTGATATAAAATATTCCTTCTCAGCTCTTTAACACACATACAAGCCAAAGACACCAAACCCTCTTATGTTAGGTTGTTACAAGTGTCCAGAGCCCTAAGAACCCTTACACAAAAGGACTCCGAGTCATTTTGCATAACAATAAGAGCAAGAAGTTGAAATGCAAGAATCATCTACATATGAAAGTTCCTTGGAAAAGCTCCAATCTTAAAAGGGTACTTTTCAGAAGTAGCTGCAGGGTTCTTCAGGGGAAAGGAAGGGGTCAACTTTTCCTAAACAGTATTTTAAAAATATAACTGTTGGAGACAATCTTGCTTGAATTTAAACTTTTTTGCCATTGTTATAACAACTAGACAGAAGCTACTTATGATTACTCATGTTTTGCTTTTGTAAAGTTAAAAATATCCATAATGGAACTTTTAACAAGGATCTCTGTCCTCCAGAGGAAAACATTTTTAGAATTTATGTTTCCACTTATGCCCGAGGATGGGCTTCATCGTGCCCAGCACAGTGCCTACATACACAATAAAGGTCTGATGAATTGATCCTGAATCCCACAACCAGAAGGCACCCAATGTGGCAGGAAGCACATTGGCACTGGAGATGATAACCTGAATCTGAATGCTAGTGATGCTACTTGTTACTTTATTTGACATAGGGCAAATCACTTGACCTCTCTCCACTTCCTCAGCTTCCTTACCTTTATGTAGGCGGAACTTAAGCTCCTTATACAGATACCAAGGGGGACATGCTTATTAGGTAAAGCTGATTGGCTGGTTGTTGTCCTTCTTTCTCAAAGAGGACCAAAATGACATCACTCTGCTAGGGTCAAGTTTCAGTGTGTCTGACTGTGGTTGATCAGACCAATACGAGCTTGGAATGCTCTACCACAGGTTGGGCACAAATAGTTCATGTGAACATTAGGAGGGGAACACACCTGTGTACAAGATATGAGTGAGAGCAAAGGCTTTTCAAAGAGATTGGGGAGATAAGATGGCTATTATTATTATCATTATTATTGATAATGATAATAATAATAGCATTTCGAGTTTACAAAGCAATTTACATACGTTATCTCCCAATAATCCTGTGAGGTAGGTGCTATTAATTGCCCCATTTTATAGATGAGGAAACAGAAGAGAGGTTAGGAGAGTTGATGGTGCTAGTGATTGCCCCTGAAGAAGAGGAAATTGAGTGGGGTTAAGTGAATTGCCCAGGGTCATACAATTAATGAAGTTCTGAGGCAGGCTTTGAATGCAGATCTTCCTGAGCAAGTCCAGCACTCTGTGCACTGTGGCACCTAGCTTCCTCAACAGGGAATAAATTCACTTACCCTACCCCCTTCCTTCTGATTTGAAAAGAATCTAATAGCAGGTAGCCACTGCCTTTCTTTTGGGGGCAGTCCAACACAATTTTTTTCGAAGACTAAAGGTACAGAAATATAGGAAAAAGACAAGTATACAAACTGAGACATCCTATGCCCTGCACCTGGAGGCAGCTAGATGTCTCAGTTGATTGAGTGCTGGGCCTGGAGTCAGGAAAATCTGAGTTCAAATCTAAACTCAAACACATACTAGCTGTGCAACCCTGGGCAAGTCACTTAACCTCTGTTTGCCTTAATTCACTAGAGAAGGAAATAGCAAACCATTCCAGGATCTTTGCCAAGAAAACCGGATTGACAGCACTGGCATGGATGGTCCAGAGGGTCACAAAGAGTCACACACACGACTGATCCACTGAACAACAAATGCTTTGGACACCTGGTACTATCCCGAATGCTCAAGCAATACCATCCTATGAAGAGTTACTCAGGGTGCTCTACATTTCTTTCAAGGGGAAGTCTAACTTCAGAAACTAAATTTGTGAGAAGAAAAAACCTTTTTTTATTCAGCTCTTGACTGGGATCAACTGAATTTCCAAATTAACTCTCATCCCTGGGTTGGGAGAGGAGAGAGGAAAAGACTGGCTTCCACTCTGAATGGGCTTCTTGCCTTGGGAGCAGTTGGATCTAGAGCTCTAATAGAATGTATGGTATATATCTATGCAGACTAATGATTCTGCTTTTTTTTTACCGCTGATTTAATCTAATGGAATGTTTATTGTAGTATGTCCTTGACTTAAAGGTAAATCAATGAAGCACATAGGGGCATAAAGGATGAAGGGAAGTTTTCCTTGTAGTTTGGAGGCTGAAAGGTTTTTCCACACGAGTCTATCCTAGATCAATGAAACAAGCATTGCCACCCACAATTAAAGGGAGAGATGCAGCTGCTCCCTCAGAACCAGTGAGCCTGGCAGCTGCCACTGAGCGCCCCCTGGTGTTGAATGGTGTGCATAGTTGCAGGCAATGAATATCAAATAAAACCACCTAGTCATCACCATAAAAAGTAACTAGTCACAGCGTTCCCAGGCAGCTACATGCAAAATGAGGAGGTTGACCTAGGTAATTTCTATTGTTACCTTCCAACTCTAAAAATCCTATTCTATCCCAAAGCCTGAAAAAAAAGAGAGAAAAAGCCTTACACTTGTTTCCAAAGTTCAATTTACTAAAGCTGTAGCATTTTCTAAAATGAATTAAAAATAATGACCAGAAAACTAACTTTAAGTCAGAAACTCTAGAAATAAAATATAAATACTACACATGTAAAATGACTTCTGGTAAGAGAAGGAAGGGAGGGAGGGAGGGAGGAGGAAAGAAGGAAAGAAGGAAGGGAGGAAGGAAGAAGGGATGGAGGAAGGGAGGGAGGAAAAGAGAGAGGGAGGGAGGAAGAGAGGAAGGGAGGGAGGAGTTTGGGATTTACTCTAAAGTATTATTCAGGCTTGTGTATTTTTCACATATGATTAATATAATAAAGCCCTCATTAATCAGAATCCTTAAGAAATAGAGAGTTCTATTTGATTGAAACTTCTGATTAACTGAAGGTTAACCACAAAATTCTTTTTATTTCAAACTTTATTAAAATCAATCAGGTTACCAGGGCCCAGGGTCACCTAATCCCCTGCCCTTTTCCAGCTCCTGCCCCTGAGCATTCTTCCAAACACAAAACCAAGAAGGAGCTCAGAAGCCTGTGCAGTCCTAACCAGAATCTATATTAAAGCTTTTTATCATCCTAAACTTAATATTGGTACACTCTGCATTGCCCTGGCACTCCCAAAAGGGTTGTCAAACAGGTTAGATACCTATATCTACCCCATACATTCCCTGTGCATTCTCCCTCCCTTCTTTTTTCACGTCATTCTCCTTCCCTGGTCACCCCCAAAGTTCTAAGTCAAAGTCTCCTCTCAACCTTCCATGTCTTCACTCTCTTGAAGCTACTCCTGGACACTGGCTCATTGAAAGCACACTCACTCCAGCTGCAACTCTCTTCTCTCACTCAAGCACTCCAACTCACATTCACTGTCATGCCCTCTTGAATGCAGACTCATTGAGGCCATGAGTTCTTTCCACACTGCTATGGATTGTCTTCACAGCATGGTTTCTCTTACCGTGAAGACAGATAGACAGATGCCAATCCTGAGACTACTTCCCCCTGAATACACCCACTGAACTACAAAAACATATTTCTCCCAACAACCACCCTAGTAGTAGTAGTAGTTGGGGGGGGCCGGGGTGAAAGGACCCACCTGCCTCTGAGTTCTGCAGCACCTTAAATTCTGACAGAGGCTACATAAATATTTGAGGTACATATGCTCTTAAATCCAGGTAGGTTTGCTCCTATATGTGTATATTTGTATATACACATACAATCACACAATTGGATTCATAAAGCTCTAGCAAATGCGTCTTTCATGGAAAGTTGTATAAATAGCCATTTTGGAGAGGTAGATGGCGATAGAGAGAGAACTAACAACCTACAGAATTTGATAAAAAATGTACAAGTGAGGAACTGCTATAGCAACAATTACTGGTAGTAATACAGTATACATCACTATGTATATGATATATCTATATACTATCTATCCATGTACATATACATATACTGTACCATCATCATACAGGGAACCAGTCAGCCTCAAAACAAATGATTTCACAATGTCACACATACCTAGTTAAAAATAGAGATTTTTTAACAAACAGAAAGCCAGCACCCTTCAGGGTCAGTATCTAGACTATAAGCTCCATAAAGACAAGGCTATGCCTTATCTAATGGTAACATTTCCCCCAGCACAACAGCTGGCACATAGGAAGTGCTTAATAAAAGTTGATTGGTTTTGACTAAATGCAAAAGAACTCCCAGAACCTCTATGTATGCCTCCCATAATTTATCGTATTTCAATCAAATACATATGGTTTGTTGTCATGTTACAGAGTAGACACTGATTTGTCCACATAAAGACTGAATCCCTGACCTTGGCTTCTTAGGGCCATGGTCCACACAACCAAACTGACTGAACACTAGCAGAAACATGGAGCTTACCATTGTTTGGTGGCGTTACCACAGTTGGTGGAGTCTTTGGGTTTGTATTTTGTTTCACTTTACCAGGTTTTTCTGAATTCGAAACTTCCTCCTTCTTTCCCCTTCTCTTCGGAGGCAGAGGGGATGAGTTGTCACTGGAACCGATAGTTGACTTAGACTGACGATCATTTCCCTAAATGGAAAGAGAAATGGATTCTTCTTATTGATTAACTGCACCCTAAGAATGACTTCCCACAAGAGACAATATTTTCTAGGTGGAAGATGGACCAAAAAAAAAAAGAAAAGGCTAGAATCTCTTCCATTACTTTTGATTTAATACCTACCTTAAGAAAGAGGTCATGTTGTTTAATGGATAGATTACCAGAAGTGGCTTTGAATCTTGATTCTGACATTTACAAGCTGTGTGGCCTTGTACAAATTAACCTAACTCTCTGAACCTCAGTTTCCTCATCTTTAAAAATGGGGATAACTGATACCTACCTCACAAAAGGTTGTGAGAAAAGAAACTTGTAAGTTTTAATTTGTTATATATAGATGTGAGCTATTACATTATCCAAATAAACAGACAGATCCCCATCCAACTCCAAATCTATCATCCTACTATATTTATCAGATTTTAAATTGTGCAGCCACCATAACTTTTCTTTTTCCATGCAGAAAAAGAAACATTCTCCTGGCCAACATGAGAGGAAAATGACTCAATATAATCACAATTCATAGAGAAAAGAAAAAGTCAATATAGGCACAGATTCTGAATAACATAAATCTTACAATATTCTCAGCTAATTTGCAAAAAGTTTGGTGAAAAATGTATCATTACTAGAAAAACATCATGATGGGATAAAAAGAAAGCTGGACTTCAGAATCTGGAGAAACCAAGCTTCAGATTCTGCCTCTGGCAGTAGTTGTGTGACAAAGGTGATCTTTTTGAGCCTCGGTTCCACAGTCTGCAAAATGGGGATTAACAATACCTATCCTTATCTCACAGGGTTGTTGGGAGGATAAAATGAGATGCTTAATACTTGTAAAAATCATTGCAAAACTTAAAGTGCTATAGAACCATTAGCTATCATCCTCATCATCATTATCATCATGCAGCAGTGAGAGTTGATGCGGGGGGCAGCTAGGTGGCACAGTGGATAGAGCACCGGCCGTGGATTCAGGAGGACCTGAGTTCAAATCCGGCCTCAGACACATAACATTTACTAGCTGTGTGACCCTGGGCAAGTCACTTAACCCCACTGCCTAACCAAAAAAAAAAAAAAGAGAGAGAGAGAGAGAGTTGACCCTGAAGCCAGAGAGAACTAGGTTCAAATCCTGCCTCTGATATATACAACTGCATAATGTTGTATGAGTCACAAATCTTTCAATGCTCTAGGCAACGTTCTAAGAATTTTAATTGCAGAGGAGGTATGCTTTAACAGGAGTTTCTTCATGTGGGTGATCCCTATACCAATGAAATCATAGATATAGACCCTTGCATCATCATTATTATTGCTACTAGTACTACTGTAAATATGTAAAGACACTCTCATGTATTCACACACCTATAACTTTTGTAAAACATTGCTAATCTCCTTTCTAGAATTATGATTATCAGAATCTCTGAATCATAAACCCAAGACAACCACTAAAGAAATAGTTTATTACTCATCTGTGGTGCCAGAAGTTTGGGGAAGCACCACTGAATTTTCATTCACCCTTCCTAGTAGTAACAGGAAGGTGAAAAGATGATTGCTTTATCCCCCTACCTTTCCATTCAATACAAAGCACTTTCGTTGTGGTTGAAGGATGCCACTGGGTACCCAGAGGTAAAGGTCACACACATTTAGGAAGTTTTCATCACTACATCTAGGTAGTGTCATAGCTACTGAGGTTAGCTAGGAATGCAACAAAACTCATAACCATTACACATTTACCACTTCTGGAGAACCACACTTGTGGCAACCACTGAAGGCTCCACATTTAACCCCCACAGGAGTAGTGGGCCTTAGCAGCCAACAAGGAACAATCATACAGATAACAGAAATAAAATTCCTTCAATGACAAGTGAAAACACTCAGAAAAACAATTCTCAGGTGCCCAGTGCTGAGATTTAACCACTACTTCCTAGAATAATTTATTCAAGTGAGTTGATAACTGCCCAACTAATCCCATCACCAGCTGTGCCCAAAGTCACTGGAATCTTCATATTCTCTATGTAACATCTCTACAACTACATAGGAATTTAGAAATAAGTGTTTCAGAATGAAACAAATAAATCATCCTGGATTATATTATATTATATTATATTATATTATATTATATTATATTATATTATATTATATTTATTATATTATATTATATCTCCTTAAAAATGTGTCTGCTCAACAACCTAGAAACATTTAACTGGGTTTTAGTTACTTACACAATTAGGAAGGGAAAAATTCACAGCTTTAGAATTCCATAATCCATAAGAAAAAGAATTATGCATGTTTATTAACACCAAAACCCAGCCAAGTGTAAAACATTTTTATTCCTGCCATTCTGGTTGCATTCTATTTAATTATTAATTAAATTAAGCAAAGTTTAATTATTGCATTAATGAATACTCAAGTTTTCTGAGTGTTCCACAGCTATGAGCTACAATGCCAAGGGAGAAAAAAATAATACAATTACAGGTTCAAAACCATAAGCTCTACCATCTTATTTTTCAGGCTGTTTTTAAAAATTCCATTCATCCTGAAATGTGCCCAGAGGTAACATATGCCAACAGTGAATAAAATAGTTTGGATAGAAGGAAAAGCCCTTCTCAAGTGATTAGGGAACCAACTTCAAAGTAAAGAATTCATTACAATGTTTCTGTGCTAGGAATAAAATTGGAACAAGATGAATGGGAATATTTGGATCAAGCATTGCTTTTATAGCTCTAGAGGCAAAATGTTTCCTCATAAATGAAGAACAAGGAAGAAAGAGGAGGAGGAAAAGAAGACTCATGCTAGTTCAGATAATGTTGTTCAGTTATGTACAACTCTACATGACCCACTGGTGTTCTTAGCAAAGATACTGGATTGATTTGTCATTTCTTTCTCCAGTGTGAACCCATTTTATAGATGAGGAACCAAGGCAAATAGGGGTGGTTAAGTGACTTATCCAAATTCACAAAGCTAGTCAGCATGTGAAGCGAGATTTGAACTCAGATCTTCCTGACTCCAGGCCTGGTACTTTATTCACTGTACCACCTTGCTGCCCTTAACTAATAAAGCCCTCCTTATCTTAGAGGATAGGAAGCAAAGAAAGTTCTAGTTCTTATTACCAATAATTACAATTTCTGAGAGGCATAGTATAAATGGAAAGAACATTGAACTTGACGTCATACCATCTAAAGGGCATACATCTACTTACTAAAAGAGAGACAGCAAGCTATAGGATCAAAGGACATAAATTGAGAGGTTCAAGTAAACTTAAAGATCATTGATTCTAATCCTCTCATTTTATAGATTAGAAAACTGGGGTCCAGAGAGATGAAGTGAGTTATCTAAGGCCACACAGGTAGTAATTAGCAATGGCAGGATTTGAACTCAGTTCCTCTGACTCCAAAGCCAACATACTGAAAAAATCGTGCCTATCCCTCATCAAAGGACAAAGGGTCAGTAAGAGAATTAAATGAGGGATTTTGTTGTAGATGATTTCTAAGGACACGTTTAGATAATAGGATTCTATAAATAAGATGACATTTGTAATGTGCTCCATAACCCTAAAGCACTATATACATGCACATAAGCTACTATCTATCCCTTTCTTGTTGTTCAGTCGTTTTTCAGTCATATCAGACTCTTCAGCACCCCATTTGGGGTTTTCTTGGCAAAGATACTGGATTGGTTTGCCATTTCCTTCTCCAGCTCATTTTACAGAGGAGGAAAACTGAAGCAAACAGTATTAAGTGACTTGCCCAGGGTCACATAACTAGTAAGGTCAGATTTTAACTCAGGAAGATGTCTTCCTGTCTCCAGCCTTGGCACTCTCTCCATTGTACCACCAACTGCCCATCTATCACTCCAGGGACTCTGAAATGTCTTTGAGCTCAGAAACAAGTGAAAAGGAAGGGGCAGAGAGTTAGATACCATAGAGAAGAAGAATAGCAGAACAGCCCTTTGTTCAGAGGAAATATAATCCAGTAAATTATCTAATAATAAAAACCTATGGCCTCAGAAGCCACAGATGTACATAATTTGAATGACAAGGACGATAACTAGAGATCCTTAAGTAAGGTAATGAGTTTGATTTTCTGGTTATCTCCAAAACTTGTGAAATATTGGGAAATAGATTTCAATCTAGCAGAGTCATTTCCTAATGATTAGTGACTTCAATTATTCAGACTTCAAATGCCAAAAGCAGAGAAGCTTTCTTAATGCACCTTAATTTTAATTTTATCCTTCAAAAATCACAAGAAACAACAAAGAGAAATTTTACTCCAGATATGATTCTCATTTATAGGGAAAATTTTAGTTTCTGGGATGGAAATGATGAAAAACTTGAGAAGTCACCATTCCCTCTTAAAATATAATATAGAAATGAGCCTGACATGTACTCTCAGATATTGCAGCTCAGATCTCAGAGACTTCAGGGGGAAAAAAAAGAGATCCCATGGCTTAAAATTCTACAAAGGAAGTCAGTTGAGGAGAAATAGAGATATTCTGAAAACTCAAAGGAAAACAATTCTGATGAAGAGGAAAAAAGGGCAATTGACTAAACAGACCAATAATATTGTAGAGACATATAAATATAATAGAATATTATTGTGCTGTAAGCAATAATTAAGGGGATGATTTCAAAGAAACCTGAGGGGGCAGCGAGGTGGCACAGTGAATAGAGCTCTGGCCTTGGGAGTCAGGAGGATCTGAGTTCAAATCCAACCTCAGACACTTGACATGTACTAGCTGTGTGACCCTGGGCAAGTCACTTAACCCCAACTGCCTCACAAAAAACAAGGCAGAGAAAAACCAGGAGCACTATCTGTACAATAACAATATTGCAAATATGAATAATTTGTTCCCCCTCTTTCCTTTTCAGCCATGCCTGATTATAGACATTTTCAGTTACTAACTTTTCTTAGAGCTCAAAGACATTTCAGAACTCCTAGAGTAATAGTAGCTTATATGTATGTGTATGGTGCTTTGGGATTATAGAGCA